CAAATATCCAAAATACTGAACACCTCCCCCACCCCCCCCAAAAAAAATTAAAAATTTTTGTCTTCACTGCGTCATTACTGTGGGACGTAAACCAAACGCTGTGCTCCACCTAAGTGCTTTTAACATACACAACTCCTGGGGTGTCAGGCGGCGTGAGCGGCAGCAGGGCCTGTGTCGCGGGGGCCCAGGCCCCGCAGTGCTGCTCGTACCCCTGTGCCGCTTCCGGCCTGTTCTGTCTCGTGGCTCTGCTCTCGCTCCTGTGCCGCACTGACTTAGACCCAGAGAGCTGAAGTCACCCAGAATTAAAGAATTAGGACTTTTAGTTAAGGATTAAACCAGGGTAGCTGAAGGGGTTGCCGCCTGTCTGTCTGCCTTTTCTGAGGGATTATAGTTCTCATCAGCTGAATGGCTCCTGAAGCAGCTGCTGGAGTTTTCACTCCATCCTCTGAAAGTAAGCTCTTTAGGCTTTTTAGTTTTCCTTTAAAAAAGTCTGAAAACTGTAGGGATATGCTGTTCACAGTACCTGCGCTGTGGCGGTGCTGTGGGAAAAGTGGGTTGGAGGGCTAAGAGTGCTAATTAGCCATGTGATTAACCTGCCAGCATGTGTGAGTCAGAATCCTGTTTTCAGTTTAAACAAACTGAGGTAATACCACTGTGTTTATGATTCCTTAGCTGCCAGTCAGATTATTCTGCACAGTTTGTGTGGTTTCCTACCATGTTGATTTTCACTTAAAATAGTTTTGGATAGAGTTAGGTACCATGGTTTATCTTTAAACGCAACAGTTAGCTCTAATTCTAAATAAGTTCAGATGATGCCTGTGGGGAAAACAGACAGTTCTATGCTGATTTCAGTGTAACCTCATGAAAACATACCAAAATGTTACAGGTAGGCTGAAGGGTATGCAGCCTATTCCTGCTATGAAGAAGAATGTGAATTCTGGTATCAGTTCTGTCAGAAATAGATATGTGTAGTAGATTCGTTCCACGTTAAACAGCCTATGAAATGGAGGAGAAAGATTGAAGCACGTAGGATTATTGGTGCTAGTAAGTGGAAGAACTGAACTTACTCTTGATTTCCAGAATGTTACTTTTTCCTATGCCTAAAGGTATTTTGATGGATATGTTAATATGGATTTCTCATCATTGGTGGAAAACACCATTTTTTGTTGTATTCTCAGCTAAATTCCTGCTGTGTTAGAGACAGGAATGGAGAATATGATTCCTGATTCAGGTCCTGAATTTCATTGTTCTTGGCTCATGGTTCTTGCTACTTTTCAAGATTTGGCTTCTTGTGACAGGCACGGATAACTGGCTTAGTTGTCTGTAAGCTTTCAGCTCAGCAGTTGCTGAGAGACAACCTGCTATTCACAGAGAGAATATTGTCCATTGGGGTTCTGTCAGTTAGCTACATTCTCTCGTATTTCAAATCAATCATGTTAGCTCAGGAGATCAGGAAAGACAGTGATCTTTCACGTTTATTCAGTGGTGTCTCATAGTATCTGCCTAAGTGTCAGGGTTGCTGAGTTCAAAATTCAGTATATGGCAACTCCAGTTGTCCTGGCCACTCGGGGGGGCAAGACGTTTTTGCTCAGCTATTGGAGGCAGTGGTTTGTGGATTAGCACATGACTGTCTGAACTGTCTCAGCTGAGCAGTGGTGTCTCAAAGCTGTTTCCTCAGTCATTTCTTGTGGGTGGTGTAGATGGATTATTTTGGCTGAAAGTGGTTGTATGTTCTTGCTTAGAAAAATAAGAAAGTATGCCACACTGCTGCAAATTGCGGTGCTTTCTGTTTTGAAATGCAAATTATAGTCCTTTTTTCAAGATTAAAAATGCTGTAGGAATGGTTTTGGAAGGATGGTTTGAAAAGGGTTGGTACACTTAATAAAATCACAGACTCCGGTAGGTTGGAAGGGACCTTGCAGATCATCTAGTCCAGCCCCCTGCTCATAGCAGCTCCAGGTAGAGCACATTACTTGGGGCTATGCCCAGTTGACTTTTGAATATCTCCAAGGGTGGAGAATCCGCAGTCTTTCTAGATAACACATTTACCACCCTTATCTTAAAAAAATTTATATATATTTTTTCCTTATACTGAGTTGTAATTTTGCATGTTTCAACTTATATCTGCTGTGTTTTGTCCTTCCACCGTTCACTCAGAAGAGTTTGGCTCTGTCTTATCTACACCTTCTCATTAGATAGCTTCAGATAGCAGTAAGATCCCCCCCAAAGCTTTCTCAAGGCTGAACAAACCCAGCTCCCTTGGTCCCTCCTCCCTGTCATGTGCTCAAGCCCCCAGTCCCATTGGCAGCCTTCTGCTGGATTCACTCCAGTATGTCAATGTCCAATCTTTCATGTCTAATCTTTCATGTCCAGGGAAGCTCAGAACGGGACTCCAGGCTTGATCGGGTCACAGAGAATCTTAGGGGGAGATTTTCTGTTACAACTGATTCAGTGTCACATTGGGCTACTGACAGAAGTTCCCACTTCTCCCAGAGGTAGCAGCCCATGCAGCCGCTTTTGTGTAAAAGCTAACAATCATGCAGTTGCCAGCTGTGATAATGAGTCAGTGATATGACAAAAGTGTGACCCAGAAATAAAAATGAATAGTTTCCTCTTGGATCAGCTTGGTCATCTGATTTGCCCTAAAGCCATGTGGTTGTAGATACGATGCAGGAGTGTGGGACCAGTAGTTATACCAGTTCCCCAGTAGGATCAGTATATGCTGTACTATGCCAGTATAGTAGCTACTGTAACCAGTAGTTAACCAGATAAGGGATGACATGAGACCACTCCTCAGATGGTCTGTGGAGACCTACTGGCAAGAAAGGGATGACTTAGATTGCCAGCAGTTGGAGAAAGATAATGAAGTTTACATTGATTAGACTGTTTATTCCCATTAAAAATCTTGGTGTTAAAGGAGCAACAGACAGAATGGGGGAGAAAGTGAAAAAGTGGAAATGGCTTAGAGAGTTTTTTTTTTTTTTTGAGGTAAGAGTACAGTAGCGTATAGAAGTCAAACAGGAAAGACTCCTAGAGGTGAGGAGAACAGAATTTCCAGGGACAATTGAAGCAACAGAGAACAAAATGCTATATTTTCTATTAATACTTATATTTAAGGTAGTTGCTGAGACCTGCCTTTTTAACTGATGTTTTGGGTCAATAAACACCATGGAGATGTGAATTGTATCTCCCGTTTGTCCTGGGAAGTTGAGAGCTTGTTTATAAGTAGTCAAGAAAATAAACTGAAACAGTTGTGTTCAGATCAATGCCAATAACCTTTTATTTTATACATGTATTTTACTGTTGAAATGCACACCAGAGGGCAGTAAAGATATTTCAGCAATATGGATAATAAGAAACAAAAGAAGTTTTCCTCCTGTCTTGTTCTTCAGGAGAAGATTTAAGTTGCATGTATCCTCCAAATGGAGCCATCCTGAAAGCCCTAGTCCAGATCGCTGGAAATGCTCGTTCCCCTTAGGTGTTGTGACATTGAAAAAACCTTTTTTTGAAGGGTTGTGGTTTACCTATCTTGCAGGATATTATGAGGCTTAATTAATGCCATGTTATTCTAATGAGGTTCTTCTACAGTCGTCATTGCCGTAGTGTCCAAATGACTTCCAGAAGCATGTTAAACAATGTGATTAGCATAATTACCTGTAAATTTTTCTGCCTTTTCCCCGAGGGAACCCAGTGTGGATTTTTTATTTCATTTCTCTTTAAAAATAATTTAAGCGTGTTTAACAAAAACAAACTATTTAATAAAAACAAGAAAGAGGTTAGGTTACTTAATGCTGAGGTTAGCCTGCGGTCAGAATGTCAACAAAAGAGACCCTCTTTCAACAGAACACTGTAGTGATATTGCAGGAGTAGCGATGACATTACTGAGCAAGAGGAAGGAGTGGGTGGAAGAGAGAGAGCAGGAGTTTGGTGAAATTCATGAAAGCACTGTCTCTGCCTTAAACTTGGGCAATAAAATAGAGGAACTTAATATAGTTGCTTGTGATCTGAGACCACGTATGAGGACTGTTGGAATATTCCACTGTTGGAATAACAGTGATGAGAACAACACAAGTTTTGAAGGCTATGTGCTATTCAGGAAGGGTTAAAAAAAGTTCACAAGTGGTAGCACAGCAGTGCCTGTGAAAGGTTTGCCTTCAAAGATCTCCTTCAGTTGTTTTGGGGGAAAATGTATACATTTTTTCTCTTTTGTCCTGGATTTCCCTGGGTGTGACAATGTAGACAGTAGATCAACAGGAGGAGATAGTCTTATAGATTCAGGATCCAGCTTTTCACGATGGGATGATGATAAGCAAATTGTGGATCGTGATCGCAAATCAGTGTATGTATATTTAGTGGAAGAATGAAGAAAAATAGATATTTTCTGTTGCGATTTTCCTTTCAAAACTAAGTAAGCACTTGGGCAAACAAGGTAGGCTGAGGACTCAGGAATCAGGACCTGAATATAATTTTAATGCCCTTAAGTCTGAGGAGCTAAAACACCCAGGAAGCTAATGCACAGTGACTGGAGGTGAGGGAAATATGAAAGGCCTGGCACCTCAAGGAAAGTTGTAAGGGGGAAAACAAGGAGTTACTGGCAAAAAACTCATGTGTTTAGAGGTCGAGAGGTCTGGGAGTAAAGAAAGCACTGCTTTCTTGCAGTGAATGAACTAGTGCTAAACTAGCCATTACATGCTAAGCTAGCATTGCAAAAGACAGTAGAGCAGTAGCGAACGTTTCTTCAGCATGTGAATAAGAAGAGAAAATGCAAAGACGTGGGGCTGAGCAGAGAGAGAAGAAAGTTAGGTAGTTTCTTATGGCCCTAAAACTAGAGGAATATTTTTCCTTTTTTTTTTTTTTTTAATTAAGAATGACAGTACCGAACAAGGGACAAAGGTAAAATGAGTAATAGCAATGGGATTATGAAAATGGGAACAATCAGTTTTGTGATAGGAATAAAACTCAACAAATTCAACACACACTAATTGGAGGGCAATGTAATCACCATCCTTGAAATCTGAAGATATAGTCATGTTAAATTGTGGATCTAACATAAATATTCTTAACAAGTTGTTAAAATCAGGGGTGATACTGTGACTGGAGGATGGTAAATGGAGCACTTACCCATTCTGAAGTCATATACCTAATTTTTTGTAGGAAAATAATTGAAAATTGAGGTAAATGACATAAAATGCAGTGTAGATTTATAAAAATACTGCCAGATTAACCTGGTTGTTTTGCATATAGTCACATTAAAATAGGTCTTACGTATTTAAACCAATGCTGTACTGAGAAGCAGTGCCATAAGGAAAGTTCTTTGGGTTCACTAAGGGAACAGAATTTAGTAGAGAAATTAATTGTGAAGTGGGCAAGGAATTGGCTGACAGGGATGATTTTTTTCAAAAATTGGATTTAGGTCCTATCTGCTTTAGCTTTTTCACTAATGATCTTGGC